ACCTGGGTTAGATTTTACCTGAGACTACATCACTTACCTGGGTTAGTCTTTACCTGACACTACATCACTTACCTGGGTTAGACTTTACCTGAGACCACATCCTTTACCTTGGTTAGACTTTGCCTAAGACCACATCCTTTACCTGAGTTAGACTTTCCTGAGACCATATCCTTTATGTGGGCTAGGTTTTACCTGGGACGACATCACTTACCTAAGTTAGGCTTTACCTGAGATCACATCACTTACCTGGGTTAGACTTTACCTGAGACTACATCACTTACCTGGGTTAGACGTTACCTGAGACCACATCCTTTACCTGAGTTAGACTTTACCTGAGCTGAGAACCCATCCTTTCTCAGTGCTTTCTCTGCCCTCATTTATCTTGCTTCCCTTCCTCCCTTACAGGTGTTTCCCCCCTCAGTAAATCACATGGGGTACCTTGTCTCAGGCTCTGCTTCTAGAGAACCTGGCCTCAGGCACACTTTTGCTGTCATTATCACCATTGTCTCTCTCCCGTTCCATTCCAAGCCCCACAGCCAGATGTGTCTTACCTTCTGTTTCTTGAGCAGACTAGTTATCACAAGCAAGGGCATACAGGCAGAGAGGTGGCAGAGCCTCATGACTAGGGCCAGGGAGACAGATATTAACCCTAACCCTAACCCTTGTTGTTAGCTGACTCATGACAACCCGTTTGCAACAGAAAGAAGCGCTACCTGGCCCTGCACCATCCCCATGATCAGTTGTAGATTGGACTGCTATGATCCATTGGGTTTTCACTGGCTGATTTTCCAAAGTAAATAGCCAGGTCTTTCTTCCTAGTCCATCTTAGTCTGGAAGCTCCGCTGAAACCTGTTCAGCATCATAGTAACACCCAAGCCTCCACTGACAGATGGGTGGTGGCTGCTGATGAGGTGCGTTGGTTGATAATCAAACCTAGGTCTCCTGCACGGAAGGTGAGAATTCTATCACTGAACCCTAACCCTGCAAATAAATGCAGGGTTGCGATTGTCATAGGCCTCACTAAGGAAAAGTGCTTACTGCTGTTTGAGGGGATTTAACCTAGTCAGGAGGTTCAAGAAGTCTTCCCTAAGGAAGTGATTCTGAGCTGCGATTTGAAAAAAATGAGTACAAGTGTAAACTAGGGGAGAGAAGAGTATTCTAGGCAAAGGGTTCACATATACAAAGGCCCTAAGCAAGAGGGAATATGGAGAGTATAGGCGATGAAAACAAGGCCACCGTGTCTGGAGCTAGAAACCCAAGACTGGCAGCACTCACTGAGGGACCAGAGCTGGCTGGCTTGGCTTTTTAAGGAGTTTGGTCTTTTTCCTAAAATGAAAGGAAGGCACTAAAATGTTTCGTGCTTTGCGGGGAGGAGTAAAGTGAATAATCAGGTTTGCATTTTGAAAGACTTCCCTGGCTGCAATGTGGAGAATGGCTTTGAAAGAAACCCAGAATGGACTTGGATAGCCAGTGAGGGGCTGTTGTAAAGGCCAGGGAAAAGAAGACAGAAGCTTGGCAGGGGTGGGGTTGTGTGACAGTGGAGAGAGGTGGACAGATGTGGAAGATCTTTAGAAGTAACACTGACAGGATTTGGTGATGCATTTTATGTGGGTGATGGTGAGGAGAGGCAGTTGTCAAGGATGACGTCTGAGTTTCTGGTTTTCATAACTGGAGGGATTGAAGAAAATGCTGGAGATGCTAGGGCAGGCTCTACCATAGATCTCTTGTGTTCCCCCGGGACAAAGACTATCTTCTGCTTGTGTCCCACTCCACTATATTGTTATCTACACATTATCACTCAATAAATTTTGCTAACTGTCCTACGTGTTTTGCATTATTTATGAACCGATACCTTTGATGACAAATGATTCCCCTCCCTGATTAGTTCTGTACATTTGGCTTGAGTCAGGGTAAGATGGTGGGGATGGTGAGAAGGAAGGAGAGGGCCGGGCTGAGCGAAGAGGAACATGGGAGAGGGCAGGTCGGGTGGAAGCCTGGTTGAAGAGGGCAGCAGTGTAGCTCTTGTGTTTGGAACTAATTTTACCTCTGCCAGGCCAATTTCATCCTTTTCTTGTTCCCATCTGGCTTACATAAAAAGTCGGAGTCTTGACTCAGAGATACTGATATGCCATTTGTCATTCATAAGAAATAATTTTTTTTTCCCTCTAGAGAAGTCCTTTAAGGAGAAAGAAATGTACCTGTTAATCTTTAGTGATTCAACTACTCTGCATAGACCATGACTAGAAAGTACCTGTCTACAACAAGTAACCAATATGATCCACTTCACCAACCTGAATATATCTTTTATTTTTTTATTAACATCATGAGCCCCAACTCCACCTTTTTAAAATCTTTTTTTAAAATAGCTTTATTGAGATATAATTCACATACCATACAATTCACCCATTTAAAGTGTACAATTCAATGGATTTTAGTATATCCACAGATGTGTGCGATTATCACCAGTCAATTCTAGAATATTTTCCTCAAAAAGAAACTGTTCAGCTACCATCCCCCCATGCCTCCAAAGGCAAAGAATGGGGGAAGGAGAATGCGAGGCTGGAGGAACAGCAGTTGCAAAGGTCCTGAGGCATTAAACAACTTAGTGTAGTTGAGGAGCTGAA